TTAATACACGTTTTAGTGTCTGTCCCAATAAATACAACAATAAATAACCTAACCTAACCTTTACAAAAGAAGCTTCGTTATAATACGAATATAGCCTATCATGTTATCGTAAATACTATGCTAGAATTTTCTGTGCACATATGTGTATTTTTTACAATGTCAGTAGTAAGTTTATTTTTTGACGTTTGGATTAATTTAATCAAAACTTTTCAATATATTTCAACTAATTTAATAAGTTTTAATCAATTCAATCATGGTGTTGCACAATGTGATATAGGCTAATTAAAAACTGACCGTGAGTTCCAGTACCTCCAGAAAGGCTCAAAGTGACCGTGAGTGCAGTTCCGTAGTTGGATTAGGACCAGGGACTGACCGTGAGTGCAGTTCCAGCCCTCCCCCCCACTGAGTGCAGCCTAGCGGCACTAATGAGGGTTGAAGTGAACAATAGACGGCTTATCAGACCCGACCCTCCCCAGTGGTCTGGAGAAAGCTTGTAAAAAAACTATTGTTGCACACGCGCGTGACTTGTTGACCTTGGGCTGCTTCAACTTTAATTTTTTCAAATGAACTGTAATGTTTCAAAATCAAAAACAATAACTTGGGACCATACTGCATAACAATAATGGACTGCAATAATTGTTGAATTTAAAATCCATTTTTAACAAACTTATAACTTTTTAGCTTTTAAAACTTATCTTGGTATTTTACTTGGGGTAATGAAGTTATGTAGGCTAGTGTAGTTCTTGGTTCATCAAAATTCTACTGAATTATGTTTGGCAGTGAATAAGTGTAGAATGAAATTTATAAATTCAGGGATACACACCTTTTACAGAGTTATAAAGCCTAATTGCTCTAATTAACTTGCCACAACATCAAATCTAGAGCCCAGTTTAGTGTATTAGTGATGTTTTCTAAACTTGGCAAACCCCAAGAATGCCACTTAAGGCCAATAATCTGTTCCAAAAACGTACGGAAATACAATGTGAAAATAAAATTGAGATAGAAATCCTTGACTTGTGAGAACCAGGAAACAACATACCTAAAACATAACATCAAGTAAACAAACCCAAACGTTTTGACATCAGTCCTGCTGAGCTTAAGTGTTGTGTGAAGATTTCGGCTGCTAGTGTACTTAATTCAAGCAACCAACTTTTGAAAATAGATGTTGTGAATTGTGATTTTCAAGAGAGAAAAACTGTGGACGTGGCTAATTTGAAATGTTATGATTCAAAATCGCCATTTATGTTTATTTACACAGCTTTACAGTGTTTTATATGTTAAAAATGCATATGCAGCTTATTATTAACCGTGCCGAACTATCCGAATCCGAAAATATCCGAATCTCCCAATATCCGATCCAATCCGAACCGAGCCTCAACTATCCGATCCGAATCCGATCCGAAATGAAATTCCACTATCCGCACACCTCTATTCAAAACATTGACTTACAGTTTAAAAACATTGACTTGTGTTGCTAGTTAGGGCACTAGTGTCTCTGCATTATGTTGCCAAAGTTGGCATTTAGTTTTCTTTTCTCTTGATTTAATATAATCTTCTATATACTAATTAGTTAAGAGTTCCTTTTAGGGTACCTAATTCATTGTGATATAAACAATATCTTGACTTGAGTTAATGGGGTTTTTTTAATCATTTTAATTTATTAGTTATCAAAATCAGTTGTTTTAGATTTCAATCTTTTGCTGTAGGTCAATCTATGCTACTGTATTCCGTGATATGTAATTTTTACAGTCCTTACAATGACAATAAAGACTATTATTATTATTATTATTATCATTACTTCAACAAACCATGTGTATGGCAGGGTGTCTAGTTTATTTCCATTTAAAAATTCAAGACTAATTCCAGACTTTTCAAGACTAATTTCAGATTTTTCAAGACTAGTTTTTTTAGCAAATAGTGATGTGTTAATACCAAAATGTATCGATTCTCAATTCAAATTTGTATTTGAATGATTATTTACCCGATTATTATTATTATTATTATAATTATTGTTTAGGCTACCCGATTCCAATTTTTATAATTTAACCAAATTTTTTAATTTTACACCAACCCCTGTCTTTATGTCATAATATAATAATACTTTATTATTAAAATAATGTGGTGTTTTCAAGCCAAAAAAAAATTGGGCAATGAAAAATTCCAACTAGTCAATACATCATTTTTTGGATGATACAAATCTCCCACTACAAATAAAAATCATCATTGACTTTGGCGGTAACGGAAACGTCATCATCGTCTCCCACGGTCATGGAAACGTCATCGTCATCGTACGTGATCGCGGCAAAATCAGGAAAATTTCCCGCGGCCGTGTAGACATCATTGTCGTCTCCCTCGGTCACGGAAACGTCATCGTCGTCTCCCGCCCTGACGGAAAAATCACGACCATTTCCCGCGGCCGTGTAGACATTATCATCGTTAACCGAAGTCACAATAACGTAATCGTCGTTTCCGACGGTCATGGAAACGTCATCGTCATTGTCCGCGATCGCGGCAAAATTATGAAAATTTCCTCTGCTGTGTAGACATCATCGTTGTCTCCCTCAGTTACCACTAATTTATGTAAATGTTTTAAACATTGTCCGCGATTGCGGCAAAATCGTGAACATATTCCGCGGCCGTGTAGACATCACGTCGTCTCCCTCGGTCACGGAAACGTCATCGTCATCTCCCGCGATCACAGAAACGTCATTGTCGTTTCCCGAGGTCTCGGAAACGTCAAGATCGTCGTCCGCGATAGCTGCAAAATCGTGAACATCTTCCGCGGCCGTGTAGACATCATCGTCGTCTCCCTCGGTCACGGAACGTCATCGTCGTCGTCCGCGATCGCGGCAAAATTATGAACATTTACCGCCGCCGTGTGAACATCATCGTCGTCTGCATCGGTCTCGTAAACGTCATCGTCATCTCCCGCATTCACAGAAACGTCATCGTCGTCTCCGGCGGTCTAGGAAACGTCATCGTCGTCGTCCACGATCACAACAAAATAAATCGTCCGCAACCGCGGCAAAATCGTGAACATCTTCCGCGGCCGTGTAAACATCATCGTCAACTCCCTCGGTCACGGAACGTCATCGTCGTCTCCCGCGGTCACAGAAACGTCATCGTCGTTTCCCACAGTCTCAGAAATGTCATCATCGTCATCGGCGATCGCGGCAAAATTATGAACATTTCCCGCGGCCGTGTAGACATCATCGTCGTCTCCATCGGTCACGTAAACGTCGTCGTCATCTCCTGCGATCACAGAAATGTCATCGTCGTCATCCGCGGCCGTGTAGACATCATCGTCTTTTACCGCGGTGACGGGAGCGTCATTGTCATCTCCTGTGGTCTCGGAAACGTCATTGCCCTCGTCCGCAATGGCAGCTAAATTATAATTATTTCCCACGGCTGTGTAGACATCATCATTGACTCCAGCAGCCATGGAAACGTCATCATCGTCTTCTCCGCAATTTCAAAATCTCGAAAATTCCCGACTTTGATATCAAATTTAAGACTAAATCCCGACTTTTCAAGACCATTTTCAAATTCAATACTAATTCCCGACTTTCCCGATTTTCCCGACTACTAGACACCCTGGTATGGTAAATAAACCATGTGTGTGTCAATTACTATTTTATTGAATATTGAATATTTATTGAATTTTATTATGAATTCTAGAGTCATCATATATAAACATTTTCTATTATTATATACTTTTACAAGGACTCAGCTCAGTCATAGATGGGTACAGAAAATCAATAATTTAAAACAGTAACTTATTAGCCTAGGCCAAGGACAAATTAAGTGTATCTTAATAACTATCTTGATGATACTAGGGTGTAGGCCTAACAGTAGTTTATAGTGGACATTACTTTTTATTAGGGATGGTCAAGTCTCGAAATTTCGGGAAATTTTAAATCTCATTACACGAGACGAGATTTCTTTTTGGCCGAGATTTTTATCGAGACGAGAATAAAAAAAAAAAAAAAAAAATTAAAAACGCCTGCAGAAAGTCAATGCAATACCCGCAATACAGGAGCGTGTTGTAGTTGCGTTTCCTTTGCGAAGGCGTTCTTATTTAATTAATTCTTTAATTATTTTAATAATATTACTTTAATAACATTTGAGAAGTTTTGTTAAGTGTAAGCAGTGTGAGGAATGTTTTATTACTGTACTATAAAAAGTCAAAACAAGTAACTATTTTATAAAAATTAATATTGCTTTTATTTTATGATTTATTTTATTTTAGGATAAGTTGAACTCTATCCTAACTGATATCACTATGTTTTTTAATCGTAGGCATTTTTAATAAGTTAGGCGTGATTAATAAAAAAATGTTATGCTGATGTTTTTTAATAAAAGATTGTAAATATTCTTGCCTATTATCATTATTTTTGTATTTAAACAGTCATCTAACAATGTTACAAAATCAGGTAAAAATTTTGAACGTGCATTTCCCGTTGTGTATGAGAAGGGAAATCCCGTCTCGATCTCGTCTCGAAATTTTATGAGAAATAAAAAATCTCGTCTCGTCTCGTCTCGAACTAAAAATCCAATCTCGTCCATCCCTACGTTTTTATGTATGTGTATAAGTAGTATTCATATGAAATAAAATAATTTTTGTATACAGGTGTTTTCATTGACTCTGCCTAGGTTCACTAGCTTCACACCGAACCCATAAGTCTTCATATCTTTGAAATTAAAGATGGGACTTCCCTGATAAAAAGAAATTCATGCAACTACCTTAACTCTTTTATAAAAGATACAATTTAAAAAAGTATAATGTAAAATTTAAAATAGGCCTAAAACTTAAGTTAAGAAGGCTTAACCTTACAAATAAAAAGGTGAAGGTTACAAGGTTTATTAGCATTAGTAGTTGTGACAAGATTTCCGATTGATTCAATTGCTCAATTTACTTACTTATTTATAAGTAAACACAAGAAGATCAGGAATATTAGGTTTAGAAGGAGGGTATGGTTTAGGGAAGTTGAAGTGCTTACCATAACTTGTTGCAAAATAGATATGAAGAGTTCTACTCCCCGATTATCTATGAAGACTTGATGTAGCCTCGGGTCTTCTGTCATTACACTCAGCTGTGTAATGGCTGATTGTCGTACTCTAGCCTCGACACTGGGAGCCGACAGTAGCTCTACTACCCTCACTACACTGCTGGCCTGTAACAAAAGATAGTTTGTGAGGTTGCTAAACATAATTTCCTTTCTTTCCCTTTAACTTTAGCGTAAACTATCACTATAAATTAACTTATTTTGAATAATTTATAAGAATTAAAAATTATGATTCACTTTCAGAACGGTTGATGCCAGAATTACAGCCATATCGAGGTCATCTTCACAATCTGTGATCTTGATAAGATTGTGGTCAACTTCCAAAATCTCAGGAACGTCTGTCAGCATCTTCCAGGATCACGGCAACATCATGATAATTTATAATGACTACAATAATAATATTGTTTCATTTCTGTACCAAAGAATCCCCTATTTAAAGGTCTGCAGGTTCCTGATATTTTCTGGGTAGGGTCAGGCCATAAGTTGGTTCAAGCAGTTGGTTCAGGCCAGAAATAATTTACGAGCCAAGCTATTATTTTCCAAGAAACAGAAGGACTCTTCTAAGATGCGTGATCGAAAAACCACAATTTCATCGTGGTAGCCGGTGATTTTCAAGGTTTAGCTGCTGTCTAAAATGATGATGTTGCCGTGACCAGAAAATAGATGTTCTCAATTTTGATGAAACCGCAAGCCATAAGAAGAAGACATTCATAATTTCACCCTGTCTACAGAAGATGTTCCCAATTTACCCATGACCAAGGAAGAGTGTCCTCATTTCACTTAGACCTAGGAAGATGTTATTGGTATCGCCATGCCCACGGAATATGTTCTCAAATTTTATGTGACGGCGGGTATGGTTCAGGGTTAAAAAAAGAATATTTCAAAAATACTGTTATCTGTAATGGGTCAGACTTCAGGTGATAGGTAAACAAACAACCTGACTTGTGTGGAAACTCATCCGCATGTCCACTCCAAAGGTCAACTCCTGCGCTGCCGTCTTATCTCTTGACTAATCTTAGCACAAATATCTGATGAAACTTAAACCTATTCTAGAAAAACTTTTTCTACACTAAACGTAATTTACAACCGATTATTTAAAGTAAAAATCTGGTTCCCAAATTTTGAACAAAAATTAAAACTGAATATTTACATATTAGACACAACTCATAAAACAAATAATTTCCGGGTTAAAATTCTAAAAAATTGAGGAGCACAAATTAAACAGGTCAAGTAGCATCAGGGGCTTCCCCCACCCATCCCTAGATATGTTTGGTAATTTAAGTGTGTTTTGTTTATGTACAAATCAGTTTTATTTCCTTAATCCCCTAAGATTTGTATGACCAATCTACTAATGCAAAATACTGTAAAATTGAAATATGGATACTTTGTTTTAAAAACAAACAAAAATTAAGTACCCTATCCTAAAAATTTAAAATAAAGTATCGAACCGAAGTACAGAAGTACTTCAGAAGTACCGGTAGTTATGAAGTACCAAAGTACAGGACCGAGAACCAATTTTGGCTAGGAACCGGTACCGGTACCGACTTTGAAAAAGTGGTTCATCACTATAAATCATTCATTTTCATTGTAATGTCAATGAAATAAAATGAGAAAAATACTGGAAGCCCTGTACGGTACTAATTTTGTACCAAGAACAAATAACTTCAGTATAGGCAAAAATCTATTACTTATTTAATACTAGGGATGGACGAGATTGGATTTTTAGTTCAAGACAAGACGAGACGAGATTTTTTATTTCTCATAAAATTTCGAGACGAGATCGAGACGGGATTTCCCTTCTCATACACAACAGGAAATGCACGTTCGGAATTTTTACCTGATTTTGTAACATTGTTAGATGACTGTTTAAATACAAAAATAATGATAATAGGCAAGAATATTTACTATCTTTTATTAAAAAACATCAGCATAACATTTTTTAATTAATCACACCTAAATTATTAAAAATGCCTACGATTAGGAAACATAGTGATATCAGTTAGGATAGAGTTCAACTTATCCTAAAATAAAATAAATCATAAAAGAAAATATTAATTTTTATAAAATAGTTACTTGTTTTGACTTTTTTATAGTAATAAAACATTCCTCACACTGCTAACACTTAACAAAACTTCTCAAATGTTATTAAAATAATTAAAATAATTAAAGTAATATTTACATTTTTGAAGAATTAATTAAATAAGAACGCCTTCGCAAAGGAAACGCAACTACAACACACTCCTGTATTGCGGGTATTGCATTGACTTTCTGCGGGCGTTTTAAATTTTTTTTTTGTTTTTTTTTTTGTTTTTAATTCTCGTCTCGATAAAAATCTCGGCCAAAAAGAAATCTTGTCTCGTGTAACGAGATTTAAAATTTCCCGAAAATTTCCCGAAATTTCGAGACTTGACCATCCCTATTTAATACGCAAGCAGGATTTTTGTGACAATTACTCCTCCGAAACTACTGAACCGAATTACATGTTTTTGGCAGGGCCGGATCTAGACAATTTTTGAGTGGGGGCAAACTAAAATTTGCCGCCCCTCCCCCCCCCTTCACCCACAACAAAAAATCCCTCACAAATTAAAAAAAATGGAATAGGTAAAGTGGAAAAGGTAGATATAACGAATTCCTTGATATAACGATTTTTTTTAAATCCCCTAGAACTCTCCATAAGACACAATGTATATTTTACCTCCACATAACGAACAAACCATAACAACGACCTTGATTTAACGAATTTTTCGTGATTTCGGCTAAAATAAGACACCTCAATATAACGAATTTATCATTGTCAGAACCTCTACATTGCGAATTTAACCTCTGCATAACGAATTGTCTACGTCTTTCCCTCGATATAACAAATCCCCCACCCAATTATTGTTTTGGGAAAATCTGTTTCTTTATCAAATGAAATGGAAAGGTCACGTCATCGCTTGCGCTAACATTCGTCTGCTCCGTTTTACATCTTTGTCTGCTGTCTCTGCGCGCGCTATGTTGCAACTGAGAACTGATTTCATTCACTGAGGACTGATGACGACGTAATGTTTAGTAAGCTGTGATTGGGCGATATGGGATAACGGGGATAACTATGGTGAATTGTACAATTTTTTGATAAAGAAAAACCTAAGAAAGAATATAAAAACAAAACCAAAGAGAAAGAATAACAACATCGCTATTTTAACATTCCTTTTACGAGTATTTTTACCATCCTTAAGCTGGCTATGATTATACACTTTTATAATGACTTATCTAATAATTTATTGTTTTCAATACGATTTGTTTCAACTAGCATTAGCAACACCAATGCTATAGTTAATGATTATTATTGACATTCTCCTCTGTTGTGATAAATCAGTACTGTACTGTAAGTAGCCTACACCGGCCTATCACGAGCAGTAGCTTACAAAACTTTCTACTGTTTTGTTTTGTTCTTTACATAATTTATGACTACGCAATACAGTGTTTGGCTAGGTTTTAGGAGGGTTAGAACAAGCTGTGATTTTAAACTTACAGTTTTTAACCTGTACCAAGGTCAATGCCATTGTCATGATTGCGCAATATTCAAGATCCCTCCCCCGGATAATTTAGGTTCTACTGTACAATGTAAACACTGTACTGTAAAGTATTGTAGCCCATGCTACTTTAATTGTACTGTATTTTAATGAGGTCAAGTCCCGACCTATATTGATCGACGCTGGTTCTGAACCTCGACTTAGCGAAATTCCTGCAAACCTAACCTCTATATAACGAACCTCGTTTTAACGAAATCCTTGATATAACGAATATTCATATTCAGTTCGGTCCCTTCAGATTCGTTATGCTGAGGTTGGACTGTAGTTGCACTACGCAACGCAACAAAAGACGCAGTAGTTTTGATATAAACAGTTTACAAGTCACAACGTGAACTTTTCAAGCGTGAACATGTGCGCTGATAGCGAGTGGTGTGGAAGGGGAGCGGTGCGTTCCTATGTAGAGTGTGAGGGGGGGCGGCGGCACGGCAGTGAGAGGGCGGCATGGCGCCTTGACTAGGATGGCGATCAGCTGAAATTGTAAAATTTATATTGATTTCTATTGTAAAATTATTGTTTGTTTATTACGTTATGCAGTTTTGAAATTACTTAATTGATGTTCCTTATGACGTTCGGCTCATTAAAAACTTTTACAAACTGTATTAAACAAATTTTCTGCCACCAGAAATTTGCCGCCCCTCAACCCTGCCGCCCGGGGCAACCGCCCCCTCTGCCCCCCCCTTGTTCCGGCCCTGGTTTTTGGTGTCATTGGAAAGAGCGTAGCGTGAAGTTGTGCAGGAAACTTTCTTTTTAGGTAAATAATTAGATAGTGAGGCCCTGGGGCCCTTTAAAGTTTCGCATTTCTCCATAAGATTAACATGGGGAACAAACATTGTTTTGAAACTCCAGCTGTTGTCAGAAATTAAATATTAATAATTGGTCTCCATGGAAGCATGAGAAAATTCACAATGTTTACATTTGCTTTGACATTTAAATGTAAACAACCAGAACTGTCAAATGCCTATTTCACAATTTCAGACAGCTGATCCAAAAAAATAAAACAACTATGTGGTAGGTTTATTTAATCTTAAACTTTATGATGGACTAGCTGTGTGCCCGTTCTACGCACGGGGATCTTATAGTAGTCAGTTGAAACCTTCTTATATTAAGATTAAGAGCAGCAATTAGTTTGCATATTTGCAGATATGCTGGCAAAACTATTATATATAAACCTTCGCAAATACAGTATCTGACAGTTCAAGCCAAAATAAATGCTTCGCAATTAAATGTCGCCCGGATCGTGTTGGTCCATATGTCCAATGATTAAACTTAAAAATGTTTTATAGATCCATGAAGCGTAGCCCTAAAGTAGGCCTATAATTGAAAGTTACTTTCCACATCGGTTAACTTAAACGTATTTAAAGTACTACCTCAACCTCACCATTTAACACTTTATTCCGGTTGACATTTTCAGTATCAAAGGTGCTCTTGTCCATTCCGTGAAACACTGAGAAATAAGGACATTAATGCGTTACCAACATACAACAAAACAACACAATACAACAATCCAACAAAGGCCACGAACTATTGATACATAAACAATATAAAGGCGTAAACAATTCATGATGGTTTGCCCAACAAATGTTTTACTCAAATAGGTTATCATTTTCTTAGCATACCGGGTAAGCTAAGATTTGGAATCCAGGCAGAAAAAGCAAAACTTATACAGAGTTAAGACATCACTTAAATTGAATACGGACGGCTCTAATAAATAAGGTGCAACACCAACGATATCTAATTTGTAAACTACCGGTTCTAAGGAAAAGAACCAGTACC